GCTATCCAAGCCTGCAGCTAAACCCCCATCCCACTCCCTCCCCAGAGCCCTCCCCATGGAATGCTGGCGGGCTGCCCTTTCCTTCCTGCTCCCCTAGACACAGCACAGCCCTGGGAATGCCAGGCAGGCTGAGCAAAAAGTGATTTAACATGCTCCTCACTGCCTGCCTGCCAAGAGCATCAGATGGATGCCTGTGCTCTACGGAACATGCTGGCCCTCTGCTCCTCTGCTCCACCCGTCTCCAATTCCTCATTGCAATTACAGGTTCAACCACACTTTGCTTGTTTTTCCCTACTTTTTGAGGAGAAAGGGGTGTTGCACAGTCAGCCCCAGCCTCTCTCAGAGGCAGAAAAGTCCCCTCCTGCCCAGAAAGAAGGGACTGGCCACCCCAGGCCCATGCCAAGGGCATCACCATAAAGCCCTTCATGCACCCAATGTGGCATGCTGGTGTTTGTCCCCAGCTCTGCTCTCTTCCCAGTCCTGCTCTCCACTGGCCTCATCCTGGCAGGATGTTTGAGACCTCAAGGAAAAGCCAGGCTTTCCAACCAGGTGAACTCTTCCCATCTGAAGGAGTCATAAATCCATGACTCAAACACAAGACTTGGGATTTTCCACCTCCCCAGCTAATGCCATAAATTGACTGAATAACCTTACCTGCTCCAGCCTTGCTCCTCCAGAGCAGATGGAAAACCAGCCCACCCTCCTTGCCACCCCCACGGAGTTCCAGCATCCCCCGAAAAAACAAGGACCATCCCCAGTCAAATGGCCAAGCCCCTCCAGCTGCACTGTGCAGGAGGTGGCTGAAAAGTTGCCCCAGGGCCCCTTTCCATGCAGCTTTACCTCAAAAAACTCCCCATAAGAAGGTGCTAGGCAGCAGGGAAGTTTATTTAACAGCTCTATAAAACAAGCTGAGACAACCCCTGCGTATGGGCCCCTGCCTAGGGAGCAAAGTGCTGACTCAGGCGTCATCTCCTGCCCCAGGGTGCCATTGTTCACAGAGAAAACAGCCTCTCTGGGCTTAAAAGTTAAGCCCCACACTTCAAAGCATCATACACAGCACACACAGGGATGTCCCCTGCCACTCAAGCACACCCTGTACCCTGAAGGGCTCCTCTGCTGTTCTGGCAAGGTGTGTCAGCCACAAATGTCTGAGCTGCTCCATCTCAGAGAGCAGCAAAAAGCCAGCTGCTTTGGTGCTAGGCTGGGCTTAGTGAGCTAAACTGGCTCCCAGAGCTCAGACAGACTCCAGGGGCAGCACAGGGGCTGCACAACCAGCCCTGGGGAGGGATGAGAGGGGAGAGGACGGCTTCTTCAGAGGGCAAGCTGCTAGAGCAGCCAGCCCTATCCTCAAACTGTGTCTGTGGGGTACAGCTTAGCCTCTCACTTGATCCCCCCATCCCCTAGAGCAGGTACTGACAAGCAAGTGTTAAATCCAGCCTGCTAAATCTCAGTGTGAGCTGAAGAGCTCGGTGCCACTCTGCTGCCTGCCTCCAGACTGGCTGAGCAGCTTTACCTCTGCAGGGTTCCTGTTCCAAGGGGCCATGTGATGCTTTGGAAGCTTCTCTGCATTTTTCTGGTGCTCCAAGCCATCGTCCGGAGGCCAGCAGCTGAATGCGAATATCTGCTTCTTGCTTAAGGGTTCTGTTGAATCCAGGACAGCCATATGCCACCCAGGGCAGATAGCTCCTAATTTGTGGTAAGGTTGGAAGGTCTCGGATCTGCTTATCAAGGTGAGAGGTAACACTGAGCGATGGCTGATGCTCCTGCCTCAGACAATCCTTTGGGAGTCACCTCTGGGTGAAAATGTGCCTGGCTTGAGTGGAGAAGACAGCACTTTGAATTCTGAGTTTCAAATGTGGAGTAACTACCGGCTTCCAGCCTAGGAAGTCACAAGTGACAGTGAGAGAGACTGACCCCCAAAGGAAACCCCCATCACCTGTGATGCAGAAAACTGGTGCCAACCCCCAAAAAATTCTTGGAAGAGACCATGGAAGCAGATTTGTCACCTCTGTGGTTCCTCAAAAGAAGGGTGGAAAGAGTGATAATCCAGGAGCACCCCTCCAGCACATCCCTTCACAAAGAGTATCCTCACCCAGGTGTTCATGAGGCACCTAAGCAGCTTTGAAGAGCCTTTTTCTGGATGTTGCCCTTCTGATCCTGCCAGGGATATATATATGCTGTAGCCATAACCTCTCCCTCCATGAGGTCCCTGTGGGTGGTGGCATAAAGAAGGCATCGCACCTGGATCCCACGAGGGAAAGGCAGCAGACCAAGAAGAGCATCTCTTAGATGCACCAGCAGTACTTGCAGATGGCCTGTGTGCCAGCACTCGGTTATCTCCCAGCATGGTGATCCCAGGAAAGGGAGAAGAAATATCTATCTGAGCAACAGAAACTTTCGGAACTGCTTGCCTGTTGTTTTAAAGGCAGTTTATTTCCATTTAGCTCAACCCTGTCTTCTTTGGCATTTCAAGATAACCAGCTTGAGACCAAGGTCACTGATGGTGACAGCACCAAATCAGCCCCCAGCTCTACCGGAGCCAGGCTCAAAGGTGAGATGACTGAGAGGGCTGCAGGTGCTTTTTCCACCCATCTCCAAACGTCAGGCAGGCACCAGAACAGCTCTGCATGTATTGGGAACCACAGGTCCCTACAAAGCAAGAGATGGTCCCATCTCCACAAGCTCCTGCAGAGTTCAATGCTAAAACCACACTTGTGTCCTCAAGCAAACAATGTACTATAACCTCTGCCTCTGGGACTGTGAGGCTGTATCAGGAGAGAAACTAAAGTCCTTTCAGAGTCAGCAACCACACATGAACAAGCTTGAGCAGGGTTAGAAATAAACTACTTTTAACCACAGACCCTCCACCTGATCTCATGGCTGTTTGAACTTGCACACCGACAATGTGACAGGGAAAACTGCTGTGCTGTGCTTGAATAAACCCCTTGTTCCCCATTTCCCTTCCCCTGTGTGCTAATCCTGTAGCTGGAAATCACTGCCTAAACTTGACAGGTCTATTTTGCTTCCCTGCTTTGCTATTCCCAGGCCAGTCAGCAGCAGAAATGGGCAGCAGTGGTCCCGGAGGGGAGAGGAAAATGATGGGGACAAAGGGAGCAAAGGGCTTGTGCCAGCGAGGACCACATGGGGGAGGACCACGCTTTAGCACATGCTGTCCTGGTCTCTCAAGCATCCCCTTGTGCTCCCCAGTCCAGGATGAAGCACCACCAGCATCTCCCAAGTCAAAAATTATGCTGGCTTCTCACCCTGCTGCACAAAACAGCTGAGCTGGCCTGTGGACAGGGAGGGATGTAACATGGGAAGTCAAATACGGCTTCAATTGGAAACGTGTCTAAAAATAGCACCAGGAGTCTCCCATGTTCACTGGGTCTCTCTGGCAAGAGATCAGTCTTTCCCAGAGAATCCTGTAAGTTTCCCTCCCCTATTCCCATCTTGCCTTTTCCTGAGGTAGCAGAGATTTAACTAACACCAGCACTTCAACTGCCATCAGTAGGTTTCAGAGTTAATTGCTGGTACCTGAGGGCATGGCTCACCCCTCCCAGAACCACCTCTATCCCCTGTGACCCACGACATGACTTGACAAAGGGCAGAGTCATATAAATATATGTATTTTTTTTTAGCTTTAGTGGATTATTTCGGGCATAAATCACTGTACAAAGCTCCAGCATGTGACTTGCTGTGAGCCAGTCCTGCTGCACTGCTGGCTGGCTGCTGGGAAAGCCGGGCCAGCCAGCCAACCTCATCCTGCCAGAGCCAGAGGGAGATCTGAGGTGGCCATGATATGGGAGAACCTCTAAATGGGCCCCTATTGCTCTAATTGTCCACTCCATTAACACAGAATAGGGCTACTTCCCCTGCCAATGGCTGCTCAAATCCAGGGCTGCGCTAACTGGGAAGACTGGGGATTCTACGAGTAGGATTTTGTCTCTGTCCCATTCTTAGATCCCCATATGCACCTCTTTGCACCCCAGAGCCATATATTAAACCCAACATTTCCAGGCTCCTATCAGAAGAAACAAAACAGATGCTCAGCTAGATTCTTCTGGGAGCAAATGGAATATATTACATTAAAATTTAATGTAAGCTGGGGGAAAGCTCTAAAATTCTCTTCAGCCTAAACAGCAGCTACAACCCTGCCCTGGTCCCCTTTCACTGTTTTTGCACCACTTTGCCTTGATGCTTACCACTCACAGGATGAATCTAGCAGCTCTTGGCTGCCCGAAGGCTTGGGAACAAACTGCTGCCCAACTCAACCCCCAGCTCAGCTTAGCAGAGATAGCTCTGCATGCTTTATTTTGCAATTACAGTTACCACCCCACCAGTACCTCCTGCTCCCCTCCACTTTTGGAGAGACCTTTCTTTTCTTACAGGAGCAGGACTTGGGTTTCATGCTCTCCCCATGTTTTGATGTGACCTCCCTGAAAGCAAGGGATTAAAACCCAGAGTCCTGCCTGCTCCTCCCACCAACCCCCTCACTGATTTCTACACCATTAAGCATGTTATTTCCCAGTGTGCTGAGGAATTGGTGTCCCTTGCCCCAGATTTCACTGCACTAAAGATGATGCCCTGCCAGCTGCCACAGCACTTGGCTTACCAGCCTCTACCACAAAACCTACCAACCCTGTGCATTGAAACATACAGCTTCGGGGGACGACAGTTTTGCTGGGGGAGCATCAAGCTGAGCGGGGTGTAGGGATTCACTTGACCTGGCACTCTGAGTACAAGGCTTCATGCTCTGGCTGGTTTACTTGTTTCTTAACTAAACAGACTCTCACAATGCTGTTTAATAAGGAGCTACATTGCCTCTGGAGATTCGTGTGAGTAATATGGTGCTTTGACACGTGAAAGGCAAATCCCATTTGCTCTGAAACAGTGTACCAGTGACTGAAGGAGGCTTGAGGAAAAGGTTTTGGCTTATTCCCCATCCCACCCTGCCCTGGGGGTGCCTGTGGGCCTTCGGTGAGCTGGTGGTGTGCTCTGACCTGATAATGAAGGGTCCTCTGGTCTCCAGGAGTTTCCGTTCGCTGCTGAAGCGCTTGAGCAGGTTGATCATGAACTTGTGAAAGTAAGAGTTCATGGTAGGAGTGGAGGGCGAGCACTCCAAGCCTTTCATGCCTGGGGAGGCAGGGAAGAGCAAGTTAGAGCAGCCAGGGCCCTCCTGCCAAAGCAGTTTCAGTCAGAGAGCAGACATGCAAAACATGAACACAGCTTTTGGCAGAGGAGCTTTAGGCTTTGAAACAAAGATTTCCAGGCCTCATATAACCTTCATCTGCTCAGTTCAAGCGGCTCCAGCCCTGCCACAGCTCTCTCCATCCCAGGAGAAGTGTCTTTTGATGATCCCAGACCCTGACAGAGCACATGGGGGTAAAATGGGCTTTACAGGCAATCATCCCAAGAGCTGTTCAGCTTCAGTAGCTGATAGCAGAAGAGGTGCCTGAGGCTCTGCATCAACACGCAATCCCATCTCCCTGGATATGGCAGGTACACTCATCCAAAAAACCCAGACGGCTAGTGACTTGAAGAGCCTTTAATCCAGCCCCATAGGCCACAGATACCCCGAGCCCATCATGCACATAGCAGCATCACACACATGTTCAGGCCTGGATCACGGATGGGGGCCATCGTTTTATGCTTGGTGACATGATTTCCCCTGAGTAGGAGCCATTTGGTGCAACAGTGTCACACACAGCTTGCCCTAGAGCTAGCACAAGAAGAGTTTGAGGCTTAGAGACTGTACCAAAAAAATGGATTTTTCTTTGTTCTTCATTTGCAAAGACCCTTTTTAACAAAAGAAGCTGAAGGTAATTAGAGTGGCCAGACTCTGAGCATGGAGGGTGTGGGAAATGCTCTGACTGGAAGGAAAGGATTGGGTGTGAAAGCAGAGACAGCGTGCTGAGGAGAGCCTCAACAAGCTCTGACATATCCAGACCCAAAGCACTTTCAGGCGTTTTCATCCTTTCACCTTAGGCGCTTTGTCTGGGACCGGAGGATTTCCAGTGGTATAGGGGAGGGATGCTCTGCACCCTCTTGTCACACAGGGCACCCAGAGGTGGCAAGCCTCTGCTCACAGCCTCTGCCAAGTGGCCAGCATATCCCTCTGCACCTCTCAGAGCCATAAAATCACTCCTGAGAGACTCCTATTGCTCATGTAACAGCAAACAGTGCTCCAGGTTGTAAGGGGCATGGGCTGCTGCAGGACCTGCTTGGTAAGGCATCCTAACATGGTCTTAGTCTTTATGGGGTGGGTAAGCAGGGAGGACTGGCAGAGGGGCATCTCCCAGCTCAGGGTACACAGCGAGCATTAGCCAAAAATATCCCTACAGACCCACAAGTTCAGGGAGCTGGCAGGTAAAGACTACTTTTCCCACAGCAGCACTCCAGGAGAGGTAGTTTATTCAGAAGGACAGCTCTCAGAGCAAATGTTTGGAGAGAGAGTTCTAAAGGTGACTTTGCAATGAGGGGCGCTCTCTCCCTTAATTTCTCCTTCAGAAAGACCACGCCTAACTGGAGGACGGAAGCCAGCACACATGAGCACTCCCAGGCTATTCCCCCCATCCTGAGAACAGCCAGTATTTCCATCAGCTCACTGATGGAAACCTGAAGAGTTTGATTTATGTATGTTGTCTGCTTCTGCAGAGACTCAACAGAGCATGGAGCAGCCAATTAAAGATGTAATCAAACTGCTAAAGCCCAGGAAAGCTGATGAAAGAGCCACTGGGCTGTTTTCCACCCTGGCTGTCCCACTGATACAGGTACAGGCAGGGCAGCTTCCTCAGAATCACATTTAGCATCCAAGAGGACATAGCCAAAGAAAAAGGAAAATGAAATAGTGAATCATCTGGACCAGAACCTGGAGTCTTCTCCCACCAGAGTTGTGTGGTCACCCCCTCTTGGTACATCTGAAACCTCAAGCCAGGCTTTGAAGCAGGCATCTCGAGAACACAAGTGTTTGCCATAGCATCGTGTTTCCCCTCAGCTGTGGGAAAGATGATCTGGGCAAAAAGAAAAGAGGATCTGAGCCAACATGCTCCAAAACAAAGGTGTGCTTGTTCAGAGGCAGGGAGCACCCGGCTTGAAAATACAGCCATGCCCCACGTCCTCACTACAGCTGCTCAGAAGCAGGCTGGAAGAGACATGGTCTGGACAAGGGGACACAGAGCAGCACATGGTGGCTGCCTATCCCTCAGCCTTGTATCTCCCACGGGCAGAGCCTCAAAAGCAAGCTCTGGTTTTCTTTCTGGTGATTAGGGGAGGTGAAGAGCAGATGGAAACTGCCTTTGAAAGCTGCAAAAGTGGTATTGTTTTGCCTATTTTGTCAGCAGTGCTGAGGCATCCAAACCAGAGCTGCACTGCAACCCAAGATTCAGCAGCACACCTTTATCCCCACCTGCTAGTAATGCCCCAGTGCTGTAGCTTGTCCAGGAGAAGGTCTGATCTGCGAATTTCTTCTTTCTCAAGATCTCCAAAATTGGCTCTCTGACCCTCCACCCAGCAACGAGAACATTGCCGCCAGGACTGACGTAACCTGGCAGGAGCACACGCAGCAGCTCCTGCCCAGCACTCCCTCCACATGGCACAGACAGCGTTGCACTTTACCACAGCCTCGCTCGTCTTCTGGTGATAGCCAGAAAGCCCAAGCCTTTACATATTATAAAACACATCCCAAGAGAAAAACAGGAGGTGGTAGCAATTTCTCTCCTCCCTGGAAGGTCCATCATTCCTATTGCTGAGGTGCTGGCAGTGGTGTGCACTGAACAAAACCCAGGAGCCTAGGAATGCCAGTGCAAGACAAACCACCCAAAAGAACCCTCAAATATGTGCTCCTGACATGATGCAGCATCTCCTGCATCTCAGACTGGAGACTCAGAAGGACCCTCTGGGTCAGCCAAGTACCCAAAAAGCCAGAATCACCTTAGAAATCAGATCCTGGCTACAATCTGTAAGACAACCAATCTCCAGTCCTGCTGATTTCTTCCATCAACTCACTAAAAAACCACTGAGCCTGGAGAAAGCCAGGCAGTGGTCAGGAAGCAAGGAGGGACTGGGACACAGAGATGACAAAAACAAATCTTATCCCTGTGTTTTTTAGGAGAGGAAAGTGCTATGATGGTCTGCCCACCCCAGGAAGCTGATCCATCATCATCCTTTGCCTCTGGAAGCACTGACACCAGACTCCAAAGGAATCATTTCTCCATCCCTTGCCCACCTGGCACCCAGTGAACCACTTTCTACTTCATCTCCTTAGGGAAGGTTTCTGCCACAGCATACTCACTGGAGCAGCCTTCCCAGTGGTCTCCAGGGGTGATACTGGGGGTGAGAAACCAGCCTGCAGGAGTCTCTCAGGCTGAAAAAGGCTAAACCAAACCTCAGCTGGAGTTCCAAAACCTCCCAATCCTCCAAACTTCTTGTTTGCTCTGTGTTTACAGGATGCCTGGAAGTGGCTGGCACTTTGCTCTCGTGTAACCCTTCCTGGTGTAACCCAGAGCTCAGGACAGCGGCATCTCTGGCTCAACAGAATCAGAGGAGCAGCTTGTCAAGTGTTTCTATGAAGCACGAGAGACAAGCAGAGAGAAGTGTTAGGAAAACTGCTTAATTAATGGAGGCTTGCACTTCTCCCCCTTTCCCTGAAGTGAGACTTTGCAGATCCGTAACCTGTCAGATCAACTGTTAACGTACCCGGAGAGGGGCTGGTAGCACATCACGGCTCTGCTGCCTGTTTTTTAATCTGGCATGGAACAGAGAGCTGGAAGAAGAAAGATCCCTGCTCAGAATGATGAAACTCAGCCCAAATATCCACTATAATAGGAATAAATGGGAATTCTGGTCCCACAGGAACATCAGAGCGGTGAAACAAGAGCTGGCAGAAACAGGCTACAAAAGGCACATGGAAATTGCAGCTCCATGGCTGACGTGACCACACAGCCAGGAACCTTGTCAACAACTAGAGGATCCTCCTGCCAGCAGGTCGAGGGAGGGGATTCTCTCCCTCTGCTCCTCTCTAGGGAGACCCCCCCCCACAGTCCTGCATCCAGCTCTGGGGCAACAACACAAGAGGGACATGGAACTGCTGGAGTGAGTTGAGAGGCCATGGAGATGCTGTGAGGGCTGGAGCACCTCTGCTTGGAGACAGGCTGAGAGAGCTGGGCTTGCTCAGCCTAGAGAGGAGAAGGCTCTGGGGAGACCTTGGAGCAGCTCCAGGCCTCTTCAAGGAAAGGCAGTGCAGGGCTTGTCTCTGCCTTCCTGAGATCTGCACATCTCCTTCATGGATCTGCACATCTCCTTATGGGATCTGCATGGGATCAGTCTGAGGAGACCTTAGAGCAGCTCCAGTGCCTGGAGGGCTGACAAGAAAGTTGGAGAGGGGCTCTGGACAAAGATCTGCAGGGACAGGACAAAGGCAAATGGCTTTAACATGACAAGGGGGGAGGTTGAGATGAGCTCTTAGGCAGTTCTTCCCTGTCAGGGTGGTGAGGCCCTGACACAGGGTACTGGGAGAAGCTGCAGCTGCCCCATCTGTGGCAGTGTTCAAGGTCAGCTTGGATGGTGCTTGGAGCAACCTGGTCTAGTGGAAGGTGTCCCTGCCTGTGGCAGGGGCTTGGAACTGGATGAGCTTTGAGGTCCCTTCTAACCCAAACCATCTATGATTCTATGATCCCAGGATGCCAGGCTAACAAATCCTTTCCCAGGCAAGCTACTGCTTCTTGGATCACTGAAACCAGCACCGGCATCAGTCCCCCTGACCCACAGGTGCTAGCTCAAGCACAACAAATATCTGCCAAAAGCCCTGCTTCATCCCAAGTGCTCACTGGCGGTTCATGCTGTTCCCATCACTTGTGTGGACATGCTATAAATCAACTGAGACAGGCAATTAGGGATCTATATTAAGACCCTTATAAATACATGTTGTACAGCAGCATGGAAATTCTACCATCTGGCTCCTTGATGGGCTGAGCCATCTCAAGACCTACAGTGGCCAGAGTGTTCCCAAATTGTTCCAGGGGCGCCTGACAGACCCTGACATAACTTGGATTTTTCTGCCTCAACCACAAAGCACCAAACTTCACCCTGACATACAATGCAACTTCCACTAATTCACCATAATTGGTTTCAAACTG